TCAAGACAGGATCTCGTGAGGTAATTGTGGTGTATCCTGATGCTCGTCACACACTATACATTGAATGTCTCCTCACACGGGAACTTGGCATGGATAATATGGCCACGCGAACCGTCCTTACATATGTGGCACACCTCGGCGCAGGGAAACCTGCCAATTTTTTCGGCTATATCCCCGATTACAAAGGAAACCTCAATCTTTCAGACGACAGCAAGTTTCACCCGCGCGTACATCTAGCACTACAGTATCTCGTACGAAACTATTTTCGAGTAGAACATGTAGTGGCAGTTAGATTGGCCAAAAGTGTGTCAAGCCTACCTGCAGTAAAGTACGCCACCGGGTCTACGCTGATCCACTATGACAACGATATCAGCCCGGCTTTCCACTACTACGAGTGTGTGGGCACCGGCCTAAACATTTCTCAGATCACTGGTAGCACTCATTCCAGACTCATTCAATGCTTGACTTCACGTGTCCCTTCCTTAGGATTTCACGACGACCTAGCTAAATATCAGCACTCAAGCAACACGTCTGGAGAACACGATTCGCCTGGAAACAGGCCTCCTCCAGACACCCCGGGTGCTTCATCGCCGAGTGAAGGCCGTCTGTCGACAATCTATGAGGAAAATGAGGAACATAATATCGAAGCTATGATGCTGGAAGAGTGGTACGACGAGCTACGTATGGACCTTCATCCTACGACGACTACCGACGATTATCTTTACTGCGTCCCAACAACCATGCTGCCTGACCAATGTGTTTTGGTTTCAGCATCTGTGGACGAAGAAGATACCATATCATCGGACACGCTCGGAGACGAGCCTGAACCACGAGAGTCCTGTATAGTCTCTCTCTGCTCAACCACACCTGATGAGAGCTACTCTCTTGATAGTGATGAATATGGTCCTTATGTTCAGTTATGTTTTACATCAGAAATGTCAAAAATAGTGTTAGATCAGACTCAACTTGCACAGCTCGACACCGATATGGTCGCAACGATGAGAGTATATGTATCCTCTGCTGCTAAACGTGCTGTGGTCGTTAAAGAAGATGATCTACTGACCAAATCCGACATAGCAGCACACCCAAAGGAGGTTAGTGAAGCTTTGTATACTGAGCTCAAAATCTGGATTGACAACCGATGCTTTGAGATGTATGATCTATCCAAAGCTTCCAACATCATGACATCCAGGTATGTATACAAGTGGAAGTTTGTAAAGGTGGGTACCGAGAACGTTAAAACCATTCGTCTCAGACTTGTCCTTCGCGGATTTATGGATACTGAGGCTTTCGATGTGGAAACATTCTCGGGAACCGCCCGAAGGCAGTCCCAAAGACTCCTGGCAAGTGAGGCGGCATGCCATCCAGAGTGGATCTTAGCATCCATGGATATCGACAAGGCGTTCCTCAAGGGTTTGACCTATGAGGAACTTGCCCATGCCACAGGCGAGGAAACTCGCATGGTCTGCTTCACTCTTCCACCGGGAAGTGCCCAGGTACTTCGTACACTACCCGGCTTCTCATCCTATGACGAAAGCCGACACTGCCTCAGATGCCTCAAACCAGGAACGGGTACAAAGGATGCTCCAAGAGCGTTCTCTCTCAAACTTCGTACGACCACACGAGCTATGGGTCTTGCACCGACCAGTTATGACCCTGAATTTGAATTCAGCCAAGATCTGCTAACGGCAAAACATGTCGATGATATTAACATGACTGGCCTAGAGAAAAATATAGACGACTACGTACAGCGTGTCGAAAAGGTGTTTGGCAAATGCAAGCTAAACAAACACACATATACGAACTGCGCCGTTCGCTACGCTAAGAACGATCAAGGGGATGTGATTATGGATCAGGACGAGTATATCAAACAACTACGTCCTATCGCACACCCAGAACTTACAGGAGCGGCGGCCGATGCCAAAGCCACGAAACTCATTACCGACATGTTCGTCAGCTTGCGAGGAGCCCTCGCCTATGCCCTTCTTACTCAAATCTGGCTCATGGTATACGTGGTCTCTCTCCAGAAAATCCAAGAGCCCACCAATCTGCAAGTCAGACGCCTGAATGCTGTGGCGCGAAAGCTGATCAGCAGCCCGAAACGCATCAGCTTCCCTCGGATGAAGCCGACGAATGAAGTTGACATCCACAGCGATTCGGGGTATCGGAAGCTTACCGGGGAGGAGGATGATGAGACCAAGGGCTACGGCATACGCGGGGCGAATGTACTACGGCGAGGAAACTCGCCTCAAGGCAAGTCCGTCGTTCACCTCTGTGACGGACTATGCAAATCACACCGACTGCAGGTGAGGTCCAGCTATGCTGCGGAGGCACTCGCAGCGGCGCATAACCTCGATGAGTGTTACCCTACGCTCATCACTCTCCACGAGCTCAAGGCAGGAGCTCTGACTCCACGACAACTACGAGATATGCGTGAAGTTGGAGGCCTAGCCATCAAAGTATCTCTTACCATAGACGCTGAGTCCGTTTATAAATCATTATCAAGCAAGGATCTTAAGATACCGACAGAGCGGACTCTGCTTGGACACATCAGTTGGATACGTGAGCTCATGGATATAGGTATAGTACATAACGTGCAGTGGTGTGATACTAGGGATATGACCGCAGACGGGCATACAAAGGGAAGCATCGATCGGGAGCTGCTTCTGGAAGTGATGTCAGGCACTCAGTCATTCAAGTATGACGTGAAGCAGTTTGTTCCCTTTCGGGGTCCCGAGGACAGAGACAAACCCAAGTCTAATCAATTTTAGTCTGTCCTTGTTGCCCCCGCGGTCCAATTTGCCAGCATGGGCGCCTACTATAGAGGCGCCCTTCTAGTTGCTCGGAAACGAGCCTCACATTTCACGCCTGGCAGCGAGCCGGCTTTGTATGACTCAGGCTCTTTGCCTTAATACATATTTGCTCGGTGAGGTATGGCCTGTTTGGCTTACCTCTAACTGAGCCGATAGCCCTTCATCGTTCAAAGGGGCTATCTTGTATTTGCGTGAAATGCCTTGCGAGGAAACTCGCCTTACAGTCTGATGTTAGGCCAGACTGTACGCACTGTTTTCTTTCTTGCAAACAGTCGTGCGCGCGGCCTTTGAAAAGCCGAACGGCTGCGCGGCTATGCTCTCCGTCTCCTCCCCTCTCGACTTTAAGGGTAGCTCTTTGGGAGATGTTATAGTATCGGGAGCATAGCTCGCGCGCCGTTGCCTTTGGCTCAAGGCACGCGCGCCCTATTTGCCCGGATACCTGATGGTATTCGCTATTTGCCCGGATACCTGATGGTATTCGCTATTTGCCCGGACACCGCGAGTGTTCGCTATGTGCTGGAAAGACCGATACATCGATCTTATCCTATCTTATCCGCCTATTCCCCATACTGAACCACCACAGCAGAGGAATGGACGCTATTTGCCATCCGCTTCCCATGGGAGCGGATGCTATTTGAGTTACCAGGCTCACTTTCGATTCAGCTGGCGCGCTGCGGGCCGGAGCACTTTCAGGGCGCGCCGTGCCAGCCCTGCCCCTCGTGCCCGGTCCCGTTGGGGCACTGCGCCGGCTGCGACCTCCTCGGCGCGGCCGCAGTGGGTGTGGCCGTGGGCGTGGGGCTCGCGTCGTGCTGCAGGCTCGCGATCTGGGGGGGCCCCGGGTCGCCTGCAGCCCGCGCCCTCGCGCTGGAGGACGACGATGTCGGGCCCGACGTGGCGGTCGCGACGCCGTCGAATTTGGGGGCTCGTCGCCGGCCTCCTGGCGCTCCTCGTGAGTGATGGCTCGTGCTCTGGACACGCCCTTCCTCCAGTGCCTGGCGCGGTACGACGCGGACCCGAATCTCCAGTTGCGCCGCGGGGCCCTGCTCGTGAAGGGCGACGCCCAGAAGTCGATCTTGCTGACGCCGGACGGGGAGGTGGCGTTCGCCGACCTTGCTGGCTTCAGGGTCCTCGCGCTGCGTCGGTCAGGCCCTTCCCTCCCCGCCATGCGGGGAACGTCTACGCCTTCGACGACGTGCCGCCCGAGGAGATGCACGCGTACTTGCAGGAGACTCGCTCTCGCAGGGATCTTCGGCTTTGCCGTCGAGGGCGTGCCGGGGTTGCCAGGGGGCGAGTGGTTCGTCTGCGACCCGACGTCGGCGCACTTTGGGGAAGAAGTCCCACGGCAGGCCCTCGCGAACGAGGAGACTCTGGTCAGGCGTGGGGATGTCGGGCTGGTCAGACTCGACGACATCTGGGTTCATGCCGCCCGGGTCGCCAAAGGTGGGAGCTTCGACGTCTACCTGGCGAGTGCTCGTGGTGCCGCGGGCCGAGGCCCGCGCATCCTCGACGACGAGAGGGATCCAGATGGCGGGAGGTTCATCTATTTCCGCGACTCGGTGCGAAGGATGAAGGAGGCTGCAATCCCAGGCTGGCCGCTTCAGGGACGACGAGCTGCGAAGGAGGCTATTTTGGCGCTCCGCGACGGCGGCCAGTCCAACTGGGAAGAGCACCACACCGCGTGGCTTCGACGCAGCGGAGTCGCCGAGCGGGGCAACGTGGCGCGGGAACACCACATGATCTACGTGGCCCTGAGGATGATGCAGCAGTTCGATCAGCTGGATCTCTTCAACATTGCTGGCGCAGAGTACCTCATCAGGCGCCTCGAGCAGCTCGAGGCCGCCGTGCGCAAGAACCCGCGGGCCCCGGACTCCGAGGGCCTCGAGCTCATCCTCGACGCGGCCGTCGACGACACAGGCGGCATGGTGCTGCCCGAGTTCGACGGCTGGGTGGGCGACCAGGCCCGTGCGCGGGCTCTTACCATGAAGGCGAATCGGCAGTGGCAGGAGGAGAGGACGGCCGCGCAGCCCAAGGGGCCCCGGAAGGGGTCGAAGGGCAGCGGGGCCGACGGTGGCAAGTGACGGGGGCCCGGCAGGCCCCCTTCGCGAGCTGGGTGCCCTGCGGTGCCTGGCTCGCTTCGGCTGCCGCCGCGGGGTCTTCCGCCGCGGTCGCCACATCGCCTTCCTCTCCATGGCATCGGGTGCCCGCTCTTCGCGCTGGAACCCGCTGCCGCTTGCGGTCCCGGGGCCTGGGCCGCCGGTCGACTTCAGCGGGGCGCCGCGCTACTTGCGCCAGCGGGTCCTCCAGCGCCGCTCTCGTGAACGCCGTGTTCGTGATGCTGTTCGCTCCATCGACGGCCTCGCTTCCAGCGCGGTGCGTCGGTCCGGCCGCGGGCCGGGCGGCGCTGCCGACTCTGGGTCATCGGGTTCGGCCACTGCTTCCTCGTGCCTTCGCCAGGTCGGCAGGTGCGTCGCGGAGTACGGCCCTCGCCCGGCTGGCCTACAACCTCGCGGAGCCCTTCAGGAGCTCCTCAAGACCGACTCACTTTACGGGGGTGCGCCGTGCAAGGTCGTGCCCTACGAGGAGTCCAAGCTCAAATTCTGGCAGTCCACCGTCACGCCTCGCGACGTGGAGGAGGTCTGCCCCAAGTTCGTCGCGGGCGCCTTCCGCAACCCCGACGCCTGCATCCGCGAGCCTGACTGCGTGGTGGAGCGCGACCTCGAGTTGGAGCCGCCGATCGCGCCGTACTGGGACGTGCGGCTCGCCGCCGACCCCCGCCTCCGCAAGAAGTTCCTCCTGGGGCTGGCGGACCGCGGCCTCGTCGGCTTCCGCCGGCGCATCAGGTCGAGGGTGGGCTGCTTCTTCGTCGAGAAGAAGGGGGGCTGGATCCGCCTGGTGGTCGACGCTCGGGACGTCCACCGTACCCACTGGGCTCCTCCGCGCGCCGCGTTGGGGGCCCCCGCCGCCCTCGGCGAGCAGGATTGGTCCGACGCGGCCCTCGCAGAGGCTGGGTGGCGGGTCCCCGACGGCGCGCCGCCCCAGATCTTCGGAGCCTCCTCGACCTGCAGGACTCGTTCTACCAGTTCTTCTCGGAGAGGGTGGCCGAGGACTTCGGGGTGGACTTCCCTGAGAGGGCCGCGGACTACGGCATCGCCCACATCTGGTCCCCCGACGGCCCCTCCCCGGTCGACCCCGACGAGCTCGTCTTCCCCGTCTTCCGGGGCGTGGCCATGGGCTGGTCTTGGGCGCTCTGGGCCGTGCACTCGTCTGTCACGTGCTGGGTCGCGGACGCGCTGCCTGGGGGCGCTCGCCGGCTGGTCCTCGACGAGCAGGCGGCCCCTGTGGCAGCTCCGTCGCGCCCGACAGGCTCGGTCTACGTCGACAACGTTTCCTTCCTGGGCCTGTCGGCTGCCGACGTCGGCGACGCCCTGGAGGCGACGAAGCGCAAGCTGGACTCGCTCGGCATCGCGTGCCACGAGGTCGAGGGGTCGGCCACCCGCTTCTCCACCGTCGGCGTCCAGTATGACGGCGAGCGCCGACGTCTGCGCCATTCGGACCATCGGGCCTGGCGACTCTACCTGGCGTGCCGCGAGCTCGAGCGCCCTGGGGCCCCGCGCGCGGGCTGGCAGATCCGCGTGTTCCTCGGGCACTGCGTTCAGCACTGCCTCCTGCTTCGGCCCGCCCTCTCGGTCTTCCACCTGCTGTGCCGGTTCGTGGACCGCCAGAGTCGTGGACTCCCTGCCCCTCTGCCCGCCGCAGCTCGGCGTCCCTGGTCCTGTGCTCCGACTCGTCCGAGGCCGGCTACGCCCTCCATCGCCGACGGGCTGACGTTCGGCTGCTCCGCGAGCTGGCGGCGACCCGGGAGAGGTGGAGGTTCGTGCCCGACGAAGCGGCCCGACCCCGAGCAGGACGACACGTTCACGCCGGGCTGGGTCCCCGGGGCTGGAGGCGTCTTGGGCGAGTCGCCCGACGCCACTGGCATCGCCGTCTGGGCGCCTCCCCCGTCGCACTCCAGGGAGAGCGCCCGAGGCGTGCTCAAGGGCTGCATCCGTGCAGCCCCGAGGCCAGCCGGGCTCGCCGTGCCCGACAGCCTCGTCGCCCCCGGGGGGTGGTCGCTCATCGTCGAGGGGGCCTGAAGGCGCGCCGGCCCCATTCACTTGCTGGAGGGCCGCATCGCGCTGGGCGGGCTCTGGCACGCCGCGCGGCAGGTCGGCCGCCGCAACTCCCGGCTGCTCAGCCTGGGGGACAACATGTCGGAGCTCCTCTCCGTCGAGAAGGGCCGCGCCGTGGGCCACGGGCTCGCCTGCCTGTGCAGGCGCGCCGCCGCCTACCAGATCGCCTGCGGGATTTCCTGGCGGCGGCGGCACCTGGGCACAGACACCTCAGCGGCGCGGGGTCCCGCAAGGCGCTCCACGGCGTGCACCGCCCGGAGGTCGGCCCGACCGGCCTGGCCCCGACGCCGTTCCCCTCGCGCGGCGGCCCGTGGCGGAGGAGGCACCGCCGCTGCTGGCCCCGGCCCCCCGAGCCAGGCGGCCGCGAGCCCGCCCCCGCTGCCGCGTGGGCCGGGGGCCGTCGGGCGCTGTGGGCCGCGGGCCGTGGTTGGCGCCGCTGTCGCTGTCGCCGCGGGCGCCCGCGGCCAGGGGGAGAGGGATTCAGACCCTTGTCGTCACGCCCCCTGGCCGCCTGCCCGCGGCGACCCTTGCCGGCCGCGGCCGCGCCCGCCGGCCCCGCCAAGGCCCGCGGGTGCGCGCGGCAAGCGCGGCCTCGGCTTCCCGCCGCCGCGTGGGCGCCGGGGCGGGCTGGGCCGCGCACGCGCGTCGGGTCGACGCCCCGCGGCCGGCCCGCCGCAGGCTCCTTTCGTTTGCATGCTCGGCCTGGCCGAGAAGGACCGAGAGGACCTCATCGGCTGCCGCCTCCTCCGCCGGAGCCGACCTTCGCCGATGGACCGGTTCGGGATGCTGGGCATCGGGTTCGTGCGCGTCGTGCGGCTCTCGAGGTCTTCTCAGGTTGTGCTCGGTGGACGGGGGCCCTCGCGCAGTTCGGTCTCGCCGTCGCCTGCCCCGTCGACATCAAGTTCGGAGCCTGGGGGGACATGCTTCGACCCGCCATCGAGTCCGTCGTGCGCAGTTGGATCGTGTTGCGCAAGGTCTGGTTCGTGCACTTTGGGACCCCCTGTGCTCCCTGGTCAGTGGCCCGTCGCGGTGCCAACGATACGTCAGCTATTTGTGCCGCTCGGCGTTGCGCTCATGTCACTCTGCGTCTCCTCCGACTGCGTTCAACATGGCGTTCGTTGGTCTCTGGAGAAGTCGCGTGGGTCGCGTCTCTTCGCCTGGGAGCCTCTCCGTAAGTTCTTGGACGGGCACGCTCGGGTCTCAGTGGTGTACGATTGTTGTCGGTTTGGAGTTCCCTACCAGAAGCCTACTCGAGTGGTGTCCGACGTTCTGGAGTTGGGAGCGCTGGACAGACAGTGCGTTGGTGGCCACGCTCATGAGTACCTACAGGGCAAGGTCAAGATCCGCGACTCCCAGAGTCGGCTCAAGCAGTACTGGCGCACGACCCTTGCCGGCGCCTACCCTCCCGGCGCCTGCCACGCCGCCGCTCGCGCCCTCGGGCGCGCGGCACCGTCGACGGCCTGGCGGCGAGATGGTGGTCCACTGCTGCCCGGCCACTGGGAGGCTGAGCTCCGGCGGGCCGCAAAGTTGGGCAGCCTCCAGTCGTCCCTTGACTGCCCCAGCTGCCCGTGGAAGTGGGTCCCGCTCTGGCCCCGCGACGCCGAGGGCTGGGGCCGCCAGCTCGGCCGCCCGCGGCCGCGGGCGAGGCCAGGCGCGAGATCGAGGCCGGCCGCCCGCAGCGCTGGCCAGGCGCTCGCCCGCTGACGCAGCGCCGGGCTTCCTGCGACGCTCTCGCGTGCGGCCCAGCACGCAGGCGAGCTACGCTGCCAGCGTCCTGGCCTTCGCCACCGCCATGGGCGTCGTCTCCGTCTGCTGGGGGGGCGAGGGCCTGCCCCTCGTAGACACCCTGCTGGAGGGGTACTTCAAACAGCTCGACCTCCTGGTCCCGTGCTGCCTCTGGCCCCAGCCCAGCCCAGCGCCAGTTCAGGATGCAGCAAGATGGGCCTAGTCAACGGTGCCTCTGCGCAGGTCTTGGGCGACAACAGCCATTCGAGGGTCGCCGAGACTGGCCTGCAGGATGACGCCGTGCTCATCGGCAGCCATTCCCGTGTTGGCGTCGCTGTCGCCTTCGTGGCCTTGGTGTGTGCAGCCAAAGCCCGAGAGGGCCGCGTCGTGTTCTTGCCCACCTACGCCAGCTACTACCGCGCGTTCTAGAAGGCTGCCGCCGCTGTCGGGCTCCCGTCAAAGGTTCCTGCACACCTCCCTCGGCGCGGTGGCCCCTCAGAGGACTACCTCAGAGTCGCACGCTCGCTGCAGACATCCAGGCTCGCGGTCGGTGGGCCAGTGTCCGTTCTGTGCAGAGGTATCAGAGGAGCGGTCGTGCCCTTGCCTCCTTTCGTCGGCTTTCGACTGCCGTCAAGGCTGGGGCCAGGCGGGCCGAGGCTCAGGAGCTCAGTTTTCCTGCTTGGGCCTCGCGCTTGGGCCCCCTGCGGCACGTGCACCAGCGCCTGTTTCTTTTTATTCTACGGCCTGCCAATGGAGTGATATGGGATTCATACTCCATCTGCATGGATTCTTGAATTCAGGTCTGGCCAGACAGATTTGATTGACGCAGGCGCCCGCCGAAGAGAGATCGAGCGGGCGCGCTTCGTCCGTGTGCTCGGCCAACCGCTTTCGCAAGTCACCTCGGGCTGTGGGCCCGAGCTCGGCGATCGAAAAAGGAATGTAAGTCCCCGTAACGTGTGCTACCTTTTTTCCGTTTAGGCTGTCGCCGCTCCGTCTCCTCTGAGGGGCTCGCACTGGTGGGAGGGCCTTTTACAACTGCATTGCAGGTGCTCGCGACGCTTGTGCATTTGCTCCTCCCCCTCCGCTGCCTTGACTCCTCAAGCCATTCTGCCGTCCCACCCTGCCCACCCTGGCATGCAGCTGGAGAGGCAGAGGTTCAATGAAGCTTGGACTATATATATGTGTGTATATATATAGCTTCGGCTCTTGAGTTCAGGTCCGGCCAGACAGATTTGATTGATGCAGGCGCCCGCCGAAGGGAGATCGAGCGGGCGCGCTTCGTGCGTGTGCCCGGCCAACCGCCTTCGCAAGTCACCTTGGGCTGTGGGCCCGAGCTCGGCGATCGAAAAAGGAATGTAAGTCCCCGTCGCGTGTGCTACCTTTTTCCCTTTAGGCTGTCGCCGCTCCGTCTCCTCTGAGGGGCCCGCGCTGGTGTGGGGGGGGGGGTTTACGATTGCATGTATATGTATATGTTTATGTATGTGTATGTGTATGTGTATTTGTATATATATGTATATGTATATGTATATGTACATTCATATGTATATGTATATGTATATGCATATGCACATGTATATGTGTATGTATATGTATATGTATATGTATAGGTATATGTGTATGTACACGTATATGTATATGCATATGTATATTTATATGTACACATACATGTATACGTGTATTTATAGTTATGCATATGTATATGTCTATGTTTATGTATATGTATGTGTATATGTATATGTATATGTATAGGTATATGTATATGTATATATATGTACATTCTTATGTATATGTATATGTAAATGTATGTGCATGTGTATATGTATGTGTATAAACTTGTAGACATATATGTGTATATGTACATGCATTTGTACATGTACATGCATATGCATATGTATGTGTATATGTATGTGTATATGTATATGTATATGCATATGTCTATGTATATGTATATGTAATTGTACGTGTATGTGGTTATGCATATGTATGTATGCATGTATGTATGTATGTGTATACATATATAAAAATACATATATGTGCATACATATTATATATATATATATGTGCTGTCGACGACTGTCTTTCCCTTGCGGGAGGGGGTGGGTCTGTAGCCGCTTTGGCTCCAGCTCCCGGGCCTCGCGCGGCGCCGGATGGACCCGGGTTGGGGGCCCCTGACCTCGGTCTTCGCGGCGGCGCTTGGCTGGGCCGGTCACTGCGCGTTTGGGGGCTGGCACGCTGCGTGCAGCCCGCCCGTGGAGGGCTCTCGCGCGGCGTGGGGCGGGGGGCCCGACGCCGCCGACTGCGCGTGCCCCGTGTGCACGTGCGACGAGGAGCTGCGGCAGCTCCTCGCCCAGCAGGCCGCCCTGGAGTGGTGGCGGCTGGTGGCGGCGGCGCTGGGCACCGTCGCGCTGCTGGCGGTGGTGCTCCTTGCGCTGCTCGGCCTCTGCTGTGCCGGGGCGCGCTGCTGGTGCTGCGGGCGTGGGGCGAGGCCGTCACCTGAGCTGCTGGCCACCCTCGCTGCCCAAGAGGTTCGGCGCTGATGGCGCTCGGGCTGAATGTGGACGAGCCGCAGGTGCTGGCGGTCATCGAGGGCTACCCAGAGAACTGGCAGCACCGGCTCCTGCTGCGGCGCATCAAGGAGTCGCGATGGGTCGCCCTCGGCCCCGATGGCGGGCTCGAGGTCATGGACCTCGGCGGGTTCGAGCTGCTCCCCTTGGCGCGCGGCGCAGCGGTGCCGGCGCGGGTCGCGGGGGACTGCGCGATGATCTCGCCCCTCACCGACGGCGAGCTGCTGGGGCACCACGCGGCAGCGACGCGGCTGGCCGTCATCATGGGCGCGGAGGGCGTCCCAGGGGCGCCGGCCGCTGGCAGCGGGGTGTGCTGGCGGATCGCGGACACCAGCGCGCTCGAGTTCGGGCAGGAGGTGCCGTCGGACGAGGTGGCGAGCGCTGGCGTCGTGAAGGGCGCCGTGGCCCTCGTCTACTGGGGCGAGCCGCGGCGGTGGCTGTTCGCGGAGCTGGTTCCCAGCGCCGAGTACGCCAGCTGGGAGCGCGACAAGCAGAGTGGAGCTGGGCGGGACCGCCGCCTCCTTCCAGCTCGTGGCAGCGACTTCGGGTCGGGGCTCGTGCCGCTCTCGCAGGCCGCGGACCACTTCCGCCCGACGGACTTGGCGAAGATCGGCGACTTGGCCCCGCTCGGGGCCGCGCGCGGTGATCGAGCTCGTCCGCGGGGTGGTGGCGCTCGGTCTCGCGCTGTTCACCTACCACGCGCACTGGGTGCGACAGGCGGGGGTGCACGGAGAGAGCGGGATCGCGCTGGAGCACCGCATCCACTGCCAGGTGCTGGCTCTGGCCCTGGGCTACGATTGCCTGGGCGCCAGCAATCTGGCGAGCCTCGAGCTGCTCGCGCGGCGCGTGCTGCAGATCGAGCGCGCTGTGCGGGTGAACTCGAAGGCGCCGTCTTTCCAGGGGTTGGCCAAGATGACGGAGCACGCGCTGGACGAGGGCGGCGGGCTGGTTACGCGGGAGTTCACGGCGCACGCGTCGGCGCTCGCGGAGCAGGAGGCCCGGGTCCTCAAGCGGAACAGGCTGCTGCGGGAGGAGCTCGCGGCGAAGGCCAAGGACAAGGACAATAACAAGGGCGGCTCCTCCGGGGGCGAGGGCGGCGGCTGAGCGCCGGCTGCGGCCCTGGCGAGGTGGGGCCTCGGCCTCCCCGGGATTTCTTCGAGGCTTCCCTGCCCTTCCCCTTGGTCTCCAAGGGGTCGGGCCAGTCGTCGGCTCGCCGGCGAGTCTCCCTGTTCAACGACGTCGCGCAGTGCCCGGACCTCCTCGTTTCGGACGCTGCCGTGGCGCTGTCTGCTCTGCGGGAGGCGCATCCGCGGCTGCCGCTCCTTCATCGGCGCCGCGCGAGCAGTCTCGCTTTCGCGCGCCTCTCCCCTTGGCAACGCCAGGCGGTCGAGCGGCTGCGCGCCTCCTCCAGTCCGCTGCTTGCCGACTGGAGCGTACCCTCAGGCAAGGACGCTCTCGCGGACTTGCTTCACTCCGACGACCTCTATGCCGTGGCGGCTGGCGCTGCGCTGGGGTCCTATGACATCGACAAGCTGAGGGTGTCGAGATGTGACCTGGTCCCGAAGGACGTGGCTTCTGCCACGTCTCCAGCGGCCGCGAAGCTGATCGACGCCCCGCACATGCACATCCTGAAGTCAGACGCTGAGCTCTGCGCTGACGTGGACTCGGGGGCGCTTCGCGGGCAGCCGTACTGGGGCCCGATCCTCAGGGGCAGCCGCGCGAAGAAGCTGGAGTTCTTGCGGGCGCTGTCCACGGCAGGGCTGCTCACCTGGCGGCGGCGAGTTCGGTGCCGGGTCAGGTGCTTCTTCGTCAAGAAGAAGGACTCCATGCTCCGACTGGTGATTGACGCGAGGTGGGCCAACCGCATGTGCCGCACCCCGCCGCTCAGCCAGCTGGCGGTGCTGGGGGCCCTGGCGAGGCTCTCGGCCAGCGACGAGTCCTTCCGCATGGTCCGGGAAAGGCTCGGGCGGACGGCGCAGGCGGACCTCGACTCGCCTGGCGACGACGAGATGGTGGGCTTCTCGATCGACCTGACCGACGGCTTCTACCAGTTCAAGTGCGAGGCGCTCGCGTCCATGTTCGGCCTGGGCTACACCGGCACCGCCTCGAGCATCGCCGACGAGTTCGGGATCGCGCTCGACGCCGTGTTCGACGATGACCTGCAGGCCGTCGACCCCGTCGACCCGTCCGAGGTTCTCGAGGCCTGCTTCCTCGGGATGGTCATGGGGTGGTCGTGGTCGCTCTACTTCTGCAACGAGGCCATCTCGGAGTGCATGCGGGAGGCGGTGCGGGAGACTGGTCTACCCGATGTGCTGGTCGGCGATCGGCAACGGCCCGCATGCTTTGGGCCGCGTGTGCCAGCCCTGGCGCCGTACGTCGACAACGCGAACATGCTGGCGGTCGGGCGTGATGAGGGTCGGCGTGTCTTCGACCTCGTGCTGGCCGCGCTGCGTCGGCGGGGGTTCGCATTGCGGGACCACGTCGACGGGGGGCCGGTCTTCGAGTTCCTGGGCCTTGTGCTGGACGGGCCGCGGCGCCGCCTGCGCCACAGTCAGAAGCGATGTTGGCGGCCGTGGTCGGCACTCGGCCGCGTCCTGACCCTGGGACGCCTGTCAGGCGACGCCATGCGGGTGCTCTGCGGTCACCTTTGCCACCACTTTGGCCTGAGGCCGCCGCTTCTCTCTATCCTGCAGAGGGTGTATGCCTTCGCGCGCGAGCAGCTGGGCACGGTCGCCAGCTTGCCGTCCGACGTCTGGGACGAGCTGTGGGTCGCGCGGTCCATGCTGCCCTTCGCGGACGCCGACCTGAGGCGGCCGCTGTGTCGGACCATCTGGTGTTCTGATGCCTCCCTGCTCGGGTACGCGCTCCACGAGACCAAGGTCGGGCTGGCCGAGGTCTTCGACGTGGCCCAGTGGAAGGAGAGGTGGCGTTTCCGCGAGGTGGTGGAGTACGTCGACCGCGGGCCCAGCGACGTGCCGGCTGCAGCGGTGATCGGCCCAGACGCCGGTCAGGACTGGGCGACAGTGATGGTGGGGGCTGTGCGGAAGGACACCCGCGCCCCCAGCGCGGCGGTGGCGGAGCCCTCCCGGCTGGGCGCGCCCTACCGGCAGTTCTGCCGGGTCGGCTTACCCACGCGGGGCGCTGGTCGCTGATCGTGGCAGGCTGCTGGCGGCGGCGCGAGGCGATCCACTTGCTGGAGGCGCGAGCGGCGCTGCTGGGGCTGCGGCGGGCGGCTGGCTCCGCTGGCGGGCAGGACGCGGTGGTGGTCTCGTTCGGCGACAACATGAGCGAGCTCCTCGCGCAGGAGCGCGGGCGGGCCTGCAACTACGCCCTCAACAGTTGCTGTCGGGAGGCCGCCGCGTGGCAGGTGGCGGCCGGAGTGGACTGGCGTCGGAGGTACGTCGACACCGACAGGAACCCCTCCGACAGGGACTCCAGGCTCGGCGACCGCGGGAAGCTGTCGCCCAGGGACACGGTCACACCGCACGGGCCAGGTCGCCACCGGGCTCGACGACGAGCTGATGCAGTATCGGACTTCCTGCAGCGCGACCTGGTCTCTGCGGCCAGGGCTACAGTGGCGCCGGCGACGCCCGAGCGGGGCCTCGCCGCCGAGGAGCGTCGCTGTGGGGGCGGGCCCGAGGCGGCGCAGCCCCCGGCTAGACGTCAGGCTGGTCGATTTGTTTTAGAGCTTTCCGCAGGCTGCGCTCACCTGTCTGGTGCCGTCCTCCAGGCGGGGCTCGACGTGGCCGTGCCCTTCGAGTTGGAAAACGGTTCGCAGTTCGACATCCTACGCCCTGGTACCCTGGGGCTCATCATCGAGTGGATCCGTCAGGGCCGCGTCTGGTGGGTGCATCTGGGGACTCCATGCACGTGGGCCTCACATGCTCGCTCTACTGGGTCTCCCGAGGCACCAGCGGCCCGTGCTGGGCTGAGCTGCGCTCTGGCATCGGTTCGCATACTCCGGGCCGTCCTCGCCGTCTCGAGCAAGTACAAAATATACGTCACCATCGAAAACCCGATCACGTCGCGGCTCTGGGTGTGGAGGCCCATGCAAACCATTCTCGACAAGTTGGGGTGCTCGTACATCGACTTCGATATGTGCCGCTTTGGGACACCTTATCGAAAGCCAACTCGGATTGCGTCGACACTTCCAGGCCTGGATCTCGCCATTGGGGTTCGATGTAATTGCACGGCACCGCACATCATTCTGAAGGGCAAGGTCACAGTGCCCACATCTGCTGGTCATTCCCGCTGCGTTTGAGTCACCAAGCTCGCTGGGCAGGACCCGCCCCGACTCTGCCGCGCGATCGCGCGGTGCGCGGCCCGGGCCGCGCCGTCGGGAGCTCGCTATGATGAGCTTCGCCGCGGCCGCGGGCCCGCCTGGCGCTGGACTCACCTGGAGGCCGCCACCCGTGCTGGGACAGCGCCAGGGGTCCTACGTCCGCCTCGATGCCCGACTGCCCTTGTCGTCGGCTGGGAGCGCGCCTCCAGAGCTTGGGGTGTCCGCGTCCCTGCCGAGCGGCGGCGCGTTGGACCTGGTTGCTGGTGCCGTGCGCCCCCGCCCTGCCCCGAAGGCCGCAGTGGCCAAGAGGAGGGCGGCTCACCGCGACGTGGCCGCGGTGGCCCCCGTGGGCACGACGGAGACGCAGCCCGCTCCGCAGCCGGCGGTGGCGATGAAGCGGCCGGCCCCGTGCGGCGCGGCCTCGGTGGGGCCCGCGGCCAAGAAGGCGCGTCCCTCCGCCGCGACGCCGGCGGACCAGTCCCACGTGGAGCGGGCCAGCCGCCGCGCGGCCGAGGACGCGTCCCCCAGCGACCTGAGCCTGACGATGCCCGAGCTGCGGTCGATCGGCAAGGAGACCAAGGACCGCTACTCTGCGGCCTTCGAGGAGTTCCAGGCCTGGGCGGGCCAACGCGGGCAGTCGGTGATGAAGCTGGCCAAGGACGCGGACAACCTGGACGCGGTGCTGGTGGCGTTCCTCGAGGAGCTGTACTTGCGCGGGGAGGCGACCAGCATTGCCAGGGACGTGCTCTTCGGGGCGATCTTCGAGCTCGGGTTGGGCAAAGGGCCGAATGTGCTCCCTCGCTGCCGCAGGTCGCTCCAGGGGTTCCGCCGGGACGACCCTCCAGTGTCCGAGGGCCCGTGCCCGCGCGAGGCAGCGGCGCTGGTGGTGTCGGCGCTTCTGAAGGACGGGCCCCTGCTCTCGGTACTCAGCGGCCTGGCGTTCGGCGTGCAGTACGACCTCTTCGCCAGGCCCTCGAAGACGCTGAACATCCTGCGCGAGGACGTCGTGGCGCCGCGGACCGGGGCCTACCAGGGCGCGGCCGTGATCGTGGCCCCGGGCCCCGTGCGCGCGGCTGCCGCGGAGGCTGCCGTGCGCGCCGGCTTGCGAGCGCCGAGTCGACGCCGACGGCAGTGCGCAAACGCCCGGCGGCGCGGCCAGCCAAGAGCGGCGAGTTCGACGACGCCGTCCTCGCCGGGCTCAAGGGCCTGGGCTTCGAGTTTGCCCCCGAGGTACTCCTGAGCCTGCAACGGTGCGCGCTCCCAGGCCAGCCGCTGTTCTCGCCGCTGACTCTGGGCGAGTACGAGCGCCACATCCTGAAAGGCGCAGAGCTGGCCGGCCCCGACCCGCTCCGAGTGACCCCTCACTCGGCACGGCACGGCGGGGCCAGCTCGGCCATGCACCTGCAGCTGCTCGACCTCAAGGTGATCCAGAAAAGAGGCCGCTGGCTGGCGCCACGCAGTGTGAAGAGGTACGGGAAGAGTGGCAAGCTCCTGCGTCAGGCCGCGGCCATCTGTCACAAGATCCCGATGGGCGCCGCACTCCTCGACCCAGCGAGTCGCGACTCGTTGAAGAAGCAGATGCTGACCGCCGCCAATTCCATCCGTCGGTTAAAGGCGCAGGCTAACATTTGAGATCCCGATCCCGCCCACCCTGAGTGACGACGATAAAGATTGGCGGGTTGGGAGAGTGCTCGAGCTTGGTTCGTATTCCTCGGCATGCAGCTCAGAGATTCTCTGGTGACGCCTCGTCAATGGTTTCTTCCTGGATTGCTCGATTCAGCTCGTGCGAGACTGTTGTGAGAAAGTGACACCCTGTAGGCTTGCGCCTGCTCCGCCGCTCCGCGTGTGAATGCTAGCTCGGCGTGTGCTGGCCCCGTAATGGCCCCGCTAGCTCATATATGTATGTATATATATATATATGTATTTATGTAGCTGCATATGTATATGTTTATGTATATGCATATGTATATGTATATGTATATGTACATGTATATGCATATGTATATACATATATAGACATATATACACGTATATGTATATGTGTATGTATATGTATATGCATATGCATATGCATATGCATATGTATATGCATATGTTTGTATATGTATGTGCATATGTATGTGTATGTGTACGTGTATATGCATATGCACATGCATATATATATATATATATAGATATATATATATATATGTATTTGTATATGTATATGCATACGTATATGTATATGTACATGTATATGTATATGAATGTGTCTATGTATATGTATGTGTACATGTATGTATATTTGTGTTTGTATGTGTATATACTTATGTATATGTATATGCATAGGTGTATGTTTGTATGTATGTATGTATGTATGTATGTATGTATGTATGTATGCATGTATATATATACACATATAAATAAATATTTCTTTCGACATTTCTTATAGCGGAAAACCTCCCCTGACCCCCCCCGTGCATAAATTCGGCCCTGGGCGCTCCCACCGACGTCAAATTCGAATTTCGGTTCCGGGAGCCTCTCCCGGCCATCCCCGGACAGTCCCGCAAAGCCCCAAGGCGGCCCAAGACCGCTCCAGAACGGCGCATGAGCGGTCAAAGAGGCTTCAAGGTGGCTTCAAGACGGCCCAGGATGCTCTCAAGACGCCTCACGAGGCCCGCAAGAAGACCCCGAAGAGGTCAAAATCGTCCCATTTCCTGCGGGGAACGTGCATTTTTAGCATCTCCGCTTCTTTGGCCTTCATCGCGTCCAAGACGGCCCAAGAGGCCCCCAAGATCGCCCCAGAACGGCCCAAGACGTCCCCAAGGGAGCTCCAAGACAGCCCAAAAGGGCTCCAAAACGACCCAAGAGAGCCCCAAGACGGCCCCAAAGAGCACCAAAAGGCTTCCCAGAGAGCCCCAAGAATGCCGCAGGAGGCCCAGAAGAACCAAGAGGGCCCCAAGACGGCCCAAGCCCCCCAGGACGGTCCCGGGACGGCCCAGGAGGGCCGCCACACAGCCCAAAAGAGCATCAAAAGGAGCCCCACGAGAGCCCCGAGAGGCCATACCCCTGTCAGCCATATGAGGCCTCTCGCCCCCACAAGCCTTACGACCACTATGGTGCGTCATGGTGCCCCATGAGCCCTGTAAGGCCTGGGAGCCCTATGAGCTTTATGAGCCCATGGGCCCTATGAGCCCGATGACCCCTATGAGCCCTATGAGCCCTATGAGCCATATGAGCCCTATGAGCCTTATGAGCCCTATGAGCCCTATGAGCCCTATGAGCTCTATGAACCCCATGAGCCTTATGTTCCCCATGAGCCCTATGAGCCCTATGAGCCCTATGAGCCCTATGAGCCCTACGAGCCCCATGAGCCCTATGAGCCCTCAAGCCCTATGAGCCCTATGAGCCCAATGAGCCCTATGGGCCCCATGGGCCCCATGAGCCTTATGAGCCCTATGAGCGCTATGAGCCCTATTAGCTTTCCGAGCTCCATGATCCCCATGAGACTGATGAGCCCTTTGAGGCTTATGAGCACTAGAAGCCCCATGACCTTTATGAGCTCACGAGCCGCGGGAGTCCCACGAACTCGATGAGCCGAGCCCCATACCCCCCGGACCCTGCATGACACCCTATGAGCCCTATGAGCCCTATGAGCCCTATGAGCCCTACGATCCACATGAGCCCTATGAGCCCTCAAGCCCTATGAGCCCAATGAGCTCTATGGGCCCCATAGTCCCCATGAGCCCTATGAGCCCTATGAGCCCTATGAGCCCAATGAGCCCTATGGGCTCTTTGGGGCCTATGAACCCTATGAGCCCAATGAGCCCTTTAAGGCCCACGAACCCATGAGCCGTATGAGGCCTATGAGCCCTATGAGCTCTGTGAGCCCTATGGGCTCCATGAGCCCTGTGACCCCCTCGAACCCTATTACTCCAATGAGCCCTAGGAGCCCGATGGGTCTTGAGAGCCTTACGAGCCCATGAGCTCCCCGAGCTCCATGAGCCCCATGAGACTGATGAGCCCTTTGATGCTTATGAGCACTAGAAGCCCCATGACCGTTATGAGCTCACGAGCCGCAGGAGCCCCATGAACTCGATGAGCCGAGCCCCATACCCCCGGACCCTTCATGACACCATATGAGCGCGATGACCCCTATGAGACCTATGCGCCCTATGAGCCCGAGAACCCCCTCAGCACTAGGAGCCGTGAAGCCTTGCGAGACCCATGAGACCCCCCTCTGAGCCCTACGAGCCCAGTGAGCTGTATACGGCCTATGGGCCCTATGAGCCCTATGGCCCCGACTGCCCCTTCACCCCAATCGGCCCCATGAGCCCTACGAGGCCTACGCGCTCTGTTAGCGCTATGGGCCCTATGGCCCCCCGATTGCGAGCTCCATGAGCTCAATGGCCCCGAAGAGCTGATAACTCCAGGGAGCCCCAGGACCCTCATAAGCACCATAACCTCTGTAAAAGCCACTCAGCATTATGAGCCCCGTGCCCGATGTGCACAAACAGTCTCATGACCCCAACGAACCCCATGAGCCCTGTGAACCCTGTGAGTCTCATGACCCCCTGGAGCCGAATCGGCAGCATTACCCCTCGCCTAAAATGGGGGCTCCGAGCCCTTGGGCCCCATGACGGCAGAGACCCCTTCTGAGCTCTTTGAGCCGCAATGTTCCCTGGGTCCTATCAGCCCTGTTTGCTCCATGGTCTCCATGGCCAGAACACACCGTGGCTGTGACGACAGCCGATCTCATCGCGCCTCCCTGGCGCCATGCGGCCAAGATTTTAAAGGCTCGAAGTCTACTTGTATGTATGTGTGTGTACATATATATATATATATATATATATATATATATATATTTATAGATAGATCGATTCCTATTCATATTTTTTCTAGGGCTGGGGAGCCCGCGCCCTAGCGCCCCCCCCCCCCAAAGCGAACTTCGCCTCCTCGGGCCTGTCTTGCGCCTTGCTGTGGCCATCCCAGGGTCGTCTTGACGCCCCCCGAGTCAAGCGATAGTGTGCGAGCGAGAAGGCCGAAAACATAGTTTTTTTATTGCGTTTTCTCTGCTTTTCTCACTCTCTGGGCCTTGTTGCGCCAGCCTTGGGCCTCTTTGGGGCTCGTCTGGGGCCTCGTCTGGAGCCGTCTCGGAGGCATCTGGACGCCTCGAGAGCCAATCGGAAGCGACAAGGCGAGAAGACCAGAAACCTGGCTTTTCCAATGATTTTCTTACATTTGCCCATCTCTGGGCCCCCTCTCCAGGCCCTAAAGGGTCTGGGAGCGCCCCCTCCCCCCCGCCCTCGCCCGCAATACTTTCGAACCCGGGCCTGTCTTGCGCCTCCCTGTGGCCGTCCTGGGGTTGTCTGGGCGCCCCCCGAGTCAACCAGAAGTGGAAAAGCGAGAAGGCCAAAAACATTGCTTTTCCACTGCGTTTTCCACTGCGTTTTCTTTGCTTTTCCCACTCCAGGCCCTGTTGCGCCAGCCTCGGACCTCTTTGGGGCTCGTCGGGGGACTCGCTTGGGGAAGTCATGGAGCTGTCTCGACGCCTCAAGAGCCAATCGGAAGCGACAAGGCGAGAGGACTACAACGCTTTTGAAATTATTTTCCTACATTTGTCCATTCTTGGGCCCCACTCTCCGGGCCGAGTTGCGCCATCTCTGGACCCTGTTGCGCCAGCCTTGGGCCTCTTTCGGGCTCGCCTGGGGACTCATTTGGAGACGTCTTGGAGCTGTCTGGACGCCTCGAGAGATGATCGGGAGCGACAAGGCGAAAATGCCCCAAACCTTGCTTGTCTAATGATTTCCGTAAATTTGTCCGTCCGGCCCCGCTCTCTGGGCCCAGTTGCGCCCGCCTTGGGTCTCTTTGGGGCTCGTCTGGGGGCTTATCTGGGGCCGTCTTGGAGGCATCTAGACGCCTCGAGAGACAATCGGAAGCGACAACAGGAAGCGAACAAACATGAAACGGCGTTTTTTTGGGGGGGCTGCTTTGGACACTCCTGGCCCAGCTGGGCCAGCCGTCGGCCTCGTTTTTTTTGAATTAGATTCGAATTTCCGAACCGTCAAGAGCCAGCTTGTGGCCTCTGTGACGTCCCCGCAGTTGTCAATGCAGTTTGGCTTCTCAGGGAGGTTTTCCGCCTCTGGAGGACTCCTCTTTCATGTTCCCGATGTCGTTCTTTCGTGCCTACGCCTGTTGCGCGCAGCTGTGTGTGTGTGTGTGTGCCAGAAGGAAGCGGGATGATGAAGGAGGGAAGAGACTTATTCGCGCCTCTGGGCACAGAAACGCCCTGAGCTGGCCGGAGCTGGCGTTGTCAAGTCGCTCCCGCTTCGGAGATCCTGACCCGCTCCAACTTGGCGGTGGCCGGCCCCGCGTGCACGCGCGCGCGCGCCGCCTGCGTTCGAACTCACGAGGAACAAGGTGCATGGCGCGAAGCGCCAATGCAATCTTGTGTATATATATATATATATTTATATATATATGTGTATATACACACTGTACATTTGATTAAAAAAAGATGCACATTATGTATGTATATATTCATTCTCGTGTCATGAAGTGTAATCGCGATGACTTAGCGGAACTCTTTCGGGCTTTTCCATCAGCGCTCTTTCTTTTCTGACATGCCTGTCCGAATGAGTTCCAAATTGCTT